ATTCCAAAGATGTTTCCCTTCTCATCAAGAAAAACAACTCCAGCCCTCCTAAATGTAATTCCTTTTCTAGCCAAGGGCACAACTGTGAGATCTTTTTAAATTTTGACTCCTATTTTTGCAACAACCTGCCTGGTAGTAAAAACAGTGAAATTAACAAATTTGATAAAGATTTTATGTTTCATATTGCTGTACCTTTATGTATTGACAAAATGTCTTCTCTGTCTCTTTCTATCTGTGTTTCCTGACATAAATAGATAATATTATGGCTCTAGAGCTACACAGTGCCGCAGGCCAGCAGTTCACTGTGCTCTTCACCCCTTCATAACCTTTCAAACAAGCAACAATAGTCAGACAGAGAGAGAGAGAAGAGTAAGCGGTAATGTACTGAAAGGATGATTCACACAATTTATACGTTTATGTGTTAAGACCACAGCCTGAGTTAAGATTTCTCAGTTTCTTCATTGTTAAAATACAGTGAATGAGAATAAATTCAGTCTTCAGTGAGGTTGCCACGACAACACAGTCGTGACATACCTGTGCTCCCAGCCTGGCGGAGGACAAGAAGTAATCGCCTCACAGACTGTTAAGATACAACACCATGCAGACAGAGACGTGTTTTATAGATCTATAAAGCAACTGCTCCTGATGATTTAATGGATACTATTCATGTTTGATGTGTGTTGTATTCGGTATATTTTTCTTTGTTATGCCTCATTTTGCCAACAGTAAATGCTCACTTTTTATCTCTAGGCTCTAGGGATGGAAATGTTCGTCTGTTGGTCCACCACTTGGGTCCAGACTGTAATATCTGACCAACTGTCGGACAGATTGCCATTTGGTGCACACATTCATGTCCCCCTCAGGATGAATTGTAATAACTTTTGTGATCCCTTAACGTTTCATCTAGTGCCACCATCAGGTCACAATTTTGAATCTGTCCAATATTTTGGTAAATTAACAAATACTTGTGATTTTGCAATTAGCAAATTTGCTATAAATCTTCTTTTCCTGCGCGGGATCAATAAAATCTTATTTGTAGTTCTCGCATAGATGCCTTTATATAAGATTTATAGTTATTCAAACCTGCACTTATTTAACACACCAACATATCATTACCTTCAACCTGATACAGCGAACTTGGTAGCAAACAGTTGCCTATATCAGCAGATAACAAGTAACATTCATTTGAAGTCATGTTTCTGGCCACTTAATAGTGCATGCTCTCCTTTTAGCTCTGTTTTTAGTCTCTACATAATGAGGGAAATATCTGGCTCTTTTGCTGCTAAATGCTCCACTATATGGTCACCAGCTAGTTGCCAACTCTGTCATTTAGTGCTGAGCAAAAACACCACTGGTGATGAGAGAGGTGAGAATGAACCAAAACAGTAAAGCTGTGGTCCAAAAAAACAACCTTTACAGAGCTCAGGGGAACTGCAGAGTCAGGTGATCATTCTCTGTAGGTTTGTCACTACTAACGACTTTTTCCAGAGTCATATGATTGATTGAAACATACTGATTATAGTTGCTTTAAAGCACAGAAAATCCTGAAACTGAATTCGGATATTACAGTTTATAGGATCCTTTCCCTCCCCAGCATATGTTGTACAGTAGCTCAGCTCAGCACTGCAGAGCACAATGAGGTACAAAGGGCCATGACGACTGGATTTCGCCTTTGAAGAAAGAATCCTGCCCTTTTCACCTTCGAGCCCTTTCTCTTTATCATCATAGCCCAGATTGGACATCTGGAAATCCACCATGCATTACACTGCAGGAGGCAGCCAGGGGTTGGTGAGATTGTGTGCATGTAGGCTGAACATACGGCCACATGCATGGCCCTCCAGGGTGCTATGAAGTATTTACTGAGGTGTAATGGGTGCAATAAGTGCACAGTTTGTTCAACATGTAGCTCGTAAAACTGCTACGTGTCTTTGATCGTATGTGTCTGACAAAAAGTCTTTTCCTCTTGTCTGGTGAAACAGCATGTTTTTTACAGTCCGACACACAACATGGGCTGTATCAACAAATTATTGTGGATATAATAGAAGCAGTCTCTGAACCATGACGCTGAACAAGGGAGATCAGAACTGAAGCTAATGCATTAATGAGCTGCAAGAACAAGAAAATATAATTTGTCAGAGCTAAAATAACCTGTATGGGGGCAGTGAGATCAAGTTAAAACCTATGTGTGTAAGAGCTCTATCCCCTGTATTTTATATGTCACATTAAAATGCCACACATCCTACTCTTCTGACACACAGTACATAGACTTTGTGTTTAAAAGGCCCTTTAAGGTCCACTGTATGGGTGCTCCAGAGGCTTATGTTGCTCAGCTGACCCTGTCCTGTTGGCTTTGACAGAGCCATATAAATGCTGTGTGTCAGACAGGCGTATCTCCAATAGTCCAGGGAATGACGAGGGTGGTGAGGTGGGAAGTCAAAGACAGAGAAGGAGTTTTAAGACTTAGACATGTGATTTACAGGGGTCTAAATCAGAGAATGCAGATACATGTGCACCCCTTGAGTATGCTCCAAGGCAGATCCCTGATCAACCGCTTCCAGATGCTACAGTAGCCCACCCTCACAAATGGCTTCTGCATAAATCTCTGATCTCATCGTCTTAGAAATAATTAGACAGAAGAATGAGAGTCGGGAGGTGGAAATCTGCTCCAGGCTAACCTGAAGGGAGCCTTCATATAGCATCTGCTTTCTGATACTACGTGCCTAGCTTAGGGAAATGACAGGAGAGATGAACAAACATAGCCTCTTTAGGTATATTCCTCAAAGTCAGAGTGAAGCCCAGTGGGCTAGTGGTGTCTTCCAGGGGTTTGTGTAGGATCATGGGTAGATACAGCTGATGAAGGTGGGCTGAAACAGTTGTAGAGACCTAATTAAAGCAACTAATATGGAGACAATACAGCTTTTTTTACTTCATGCTCTTTATGTATCTGGCTGTTCTGGCTGGCCTTAGAACCAGAGGACGGATCCCTTGGTTTATCCAAAACTAAACTCAGCAGCTGTGAATTACAAAGAAACTTCCACTATCCTTGGACTCATGGAAACTCATCAAATTCTTTTTGAGTGAGGATGTTCTTCTTGTTTACAGAAAGTAATACTTAAAGAGTTAAATGGTTTTCTTTTGACTTAAGGGGCACAGTGTCAATTTTTGAGATCATAATGTGGCCCAAATTTTTGGCTTTGAATTTCAGTTTGACAATTACATTTGTGTCGCACTTTTTTTGGAAAGTTCGGCATCTCCTCTATCTGACTGGTACAAGTGAAGAGGATCAGTGAATCGCCTCATAAAGATGATGATGATTAATGATCTAAAAATAAAAGAATAGTAATTATAGCAATTTACCATACACAAAACTTTGAAGCGGAAAATTTGAACAGGATGGAAAATAGGCGAATTACCACAAAGTTTTAATTATCTACATTAAAAGTGACTTTTATGAGGCTAATTATCTCTTCATATTTCTTCTTCACTGTGCTTTTCATATTGTGCATTCTTCGTGTGAGGACAGTGAGTTCGTAATGTTTTGTCAGTGCACGATGATCTCAATTTATTTGGCATCGATCTAATTCAGCTTACAAGTAAAGAACAAAACAGCCTTTGGTCGTATGCTTTGGCTTATTATCTATGACAAGAATCATTTCAGAAAACTGAGGAGGAGCAGTGCATGGCGTGCTGCTGGGGTTTGGTGGAGCTGATGATTTGTTTGGACAGACTTCAAGACTTGTTAATTCAAATTTTTGGATCCATTTAAGTGTTTGGCTGTTAGAATGGCCAAATATTTCTGTAGGGTTTTGTTCATATCACCAGAAAACCTGTTCTGAATTATGCTTTTGTTCCAAATTGACTTGTTTTGATCTGATGAGACTGGTTGAATAAATGTAGTATTTGTAAACTTGGATTGCCTCTCATGGAATATACAGCACTATAGTAAAGCTTGCTGGATTTCATTTTACTGCCATCTTTGAAGTAATGATACATTAATTACATACGCTCATAATGCAAAAAACAACACTGCAGTGCCAAAAGGGTAAGCACTCATTGTTCACATTTCTTTCGTTTTTTTCCCCACCGGATTAATTAAAGCTGTTTCAATTGTACAGGATGTTGGAAACTCACTTCAAAGACCTAAAGTTTCCCTCTGGACAGCACCTTATCTGGGGTGCTGTTTGCTTTAATTATGTAACAGGAAGCGGGGATCATCTCCAAAAATCAATGTTTCCTCACTTGCTTGAGGTTAAGACTGGAGGTGAAAGCAATTAACTTCTAGATGTTATAATCATAATACGCTGACATGCAGATTATAAAGCCACCTTAGGGCAACATATGGAAGAAGACTCCATGAGTCACACGCTGAAATATTAAATAATCACGTGTCTTTTCTCAACTCATCAAGTAAAATATGGATTTACCTTTCTTGCTCTCTCTCTCTTTCTCTTAATCTATACAAGGTGAGGAGTTTGGTTTAATGAGAACAACTTTCTCTCTCATGATGCACTTGTTCAGCCATAATTGCCTCTCTGTGGTATCATCTTGCCCAGTGAATGAGTATGAGAGTTAATTGAGGGCTGTGAAAACATTTGGCGCCTCATTATTCTCACGCCAGTATAATCCAAATGACAGCTGAATTGAAAAACAAAAAAAAAACACAAAAAACAATGCAGATTTACTTGAACCAAACAGTCTAGCCTCACTTCCTTTGCTGCAGAGATTACATTGACAAAAAGCACCAGTTTACTCGAACACGTTGCACAACATGTATTCATATTCTCCAAACATGCTGTACTGTTGAATGCACAGCTGTCTACCCAACCCTTTTGTTAAAGCACTCACAAAGACTATGCAACACATGGACAGAACGGCACAACAGCTACAGTAGAGCACTCATAACAATCATCATTTTCATAAGTGTGGCAAAGCAACTACACACATTTGTCTCAGAGCAGCTAATAAAACCAAGCATGCACTTCTCCTCTTTCTTGCCTTACCGTTTATATGCTTTTCGCCTCATTTTCAGCAGATAAGATCACAATATTCATGTGCCTGTGCATCCCCTCAGAGCGGCATGCATTTAGAAAAAGCCTCCTCTAATTCTGACTGGAGACAGGCTGGTAGGCAGAGAGAGTGAGGGAGAGAGGGAGAGAGAGAGAGAGAGAGAGAGAGAGAGAGAGAGAGAGAGAGAGAGAAAGTGAAAGAGGGAGCTGAGAATTGAATGGAGCAGGAGGAGGTGTATGGGAAGAGGAGGGGTTATGGGAGTGATGGAGAGAAGAAGAAGAAGAAGAGAGAGGAAGAGAGAGAGAGAGAGAGAGAGAGAGAGAGAGAGAGAGAGAGGTGTGGTGGTGTCACTGCCGGGAGGAGAGTACGTAAAAGTGAAAGTGGCTAACCTTGTGTCATGCTGCATCTCTCCATCAGATTCCTGGTAGGAAGAGAAAAAGAGAGGGTAAAATGATTATATTTATTTATCAAGCAGATTTATCTGGCACCGCTGCTGCCACTGCATGCTGTGGAGTACCTCTTATCTGGTGTTTAACGAGCTCTCAGAGTGTCTGTCTCGACAAACAAATATATCCATTATTTCTCACTCTGGGCACACATACTATATCACCATTGAGAGCATTAAGTGAAAGAGGGAGGAGGGAGAGAGACAGAGCAAGAAATGACAGATTAACAGTTCAAAAGAAAAATGCTGTGTGCTGCAGAAATGGAGAGAAAGTGCCCAAGGGTGAGAGGCAGACTTACATACTGTAGTTGTTGAAAGGAGAGAAGAGAAACACAAAAGATGGGAAATAGAAAATGGAAAGTTCCAGCAGGAAAAGTAAGAAGGTAAATAAGGCTGAATAATAGTTTTATTTTTTTTTTTATTTATTTATTTATTTTTATGAAAGTCAGTTTAAAAGAATGGAAATACACTTCTTGGCTTTCTTGCCGAGAGTTATATCAGAAGACTGATACCACTCTCATGTTTTTACATTAGCTACCAACAGCTGTCTGTGGGCTAGCGTAGCTTAAACACTGCAAATATGGAAACAGCTAGCCTGGCTCTGTCCCAAGATTACCAGAAAATCTGTCTTCTGGCATCTCTAAACCTCACCAATTAATACAATTTATCATTTCTTGAAGCAACAAGTTTTTCAAGCTCGCTGTTTGCCCCTGTTTCCAGTCTTTAAGCCAAGCTAGCTTTGGTGTTCTTCATCAACATACAAACATAGGAGAGGAAATCTTTTCATCCAACTTGACAGAAAATAAAATGAATACACATATATATCAAGATCTGTTCCTTTAATATAATACAACATATAAAATATCACATGGATCAAGAGGGAGGTGACACCCCACTCCACTCAGTTATGCTCCATCACGTCTTCATGTGTGGAAATTCTTAGAGATGAATGTGAGAAAAGGTCCTTGTTGGCACACATTTGTTTGATGCACATGAATTATGCATGAAATGGATTTCACAAGAGCATTCACCATTCACATTTTCACTTGGGCTTAATTCTTTGGTGCAGAACCAATTACTCAGTGCATTCCCTGGACCATAGTTTACATTGCACAGCATGTATGTGTAGTGGAGGTCCAAAACTAAAACTAAAATAATAATTTGACAGTACTGCTTAAGTAATAAAACCATCACCAATTTATGTTCATGAACTTTATACTGAAGCTCAGGAAAGCAGGTACTGTTTCTGCATTGTTAGTGCTGCAGGAGCAGAGTTTGTGTGTTTGCAGGTGTTTGTGTGTGTCAAGTTGCATGCAGTTCCAGCCGGTCTCAGGACTTATGGTCGAGGATTCAGTGAGGTATAATGAATGTCACAGGTACACAGCTTCAACATACGGTTCGTAAGAGTGCAGTGTGTGTGAGCACGTGTATGCTGTGCGTCGTGGTGATGTGTGGGTGTTACAAACAGTGCTAGTGATACAGCAGGATGACTCATACAGCTACTGAATGAGACAACGCTCAGTAATCCCCTCTGTCCATCCCTCCATCCCATCATCCATCTGTGCGGGGAGGGCAAGCCTAGAGAGAGGTAGGAGGAGTGGATCGGCATTCCTGGAAGGCATCTCTGAATGATAAACTGAAGCTGCAGCTACTATGGATGTACATTCATTCAGTGAAAAAGGCCTTTATTTTGCTGGTGCTAAAATATTGGTATAATCTGTGATATAAATGTTAAAAGAAGGGTGACGTGACCACCATCAGATGCTGGTTACAGTTAGTTCACACCAGTAATGGTCATGCCTTCATTTATGAGTTTAGTATTACTGTCAGATAACATGGTTGACATTGTTGTTTTTGTTAATCAAATCCATGGTGTAAGATGTAGTGGCATCTAGAGATAGCAGCTCGCTTCACCCTCCCTTTCCAAGCGCAAAGGAGAAACAACGCGAAAAACACGTATGGCCATAACTAGTGCCAGTGCTTGGTTTGTCCATTCTATGCTACTGCAAAAACATGGTTGTTCAACATGGTGGACAATTCTTATTTTCAGGTGATTACACACTAATGAAAACATACCAATGAATATTATATTCAATTTCTGCCAATAGATCCTCCTAAATGTTACACACTGGACCTTTAAATCAACAATCTAAGCCCCCCTCCTTTTTCGGTTGCCTTATATACTGAGACATAGTTTACTCTTTTTCTACAGGCATCGGTAAATCAACAGGACTAAAATCTTACTCTTGGCCACTTTTTGGCCAGCTAAAACAAGCTCTACAAATAATACTATAATAATACAAATACTGTATTATCAGCTTGTATGTTAATATGGCGAGCTTGTTAGCAAACAGTAGCTTATTACATACATCCAGCAGATACTGAGCAACATTCAGCATTCATTTGGAGTCATGTTTTTGGCCACCTGCTGAATCTAAGTAAAATATTCACTCTCCTTTTGGCTCCAACCTGGTCCACACCAACTCCAGAGGCTTCTCTATGTTCACCAGCTAGGCTCTAACATTGTCTGTCTGTCACAAAATGTATGTCAGTTTAACTTTAATATACAGTATACGTTAAAAAAATTAAGAATTGAGCCTTTAAACTTAATTAAACATTACTATTGGGTGTCTCATGCTCATTTTATTGGAGGGCATTCTTGTTTTTGAAAAGCTGGAGAGCACTGTGCACTGCAAATTTGCAGCTTTGTCATAGATTTACCTTAAATTAGCGTATACTGTACGTAGAATTATTTAGATACAGTATGTTTGATACATGTTTTTCAAGATTGCACACCCACTGTTCAGGGTATACTTTTTCTTTCCCTCCTTGTCCGTCCAATGACCCGATCTCAAGTCACTAACTGTGTGAAAAGCTGACATACAGCAGTTTTCTCTCTTGATACCAAATGTATTCCTTTCAATGCATACACCCACTCATCTGCTGAACAGTTGCTAGGGAGCTGCCATCCAGTGAAGAATTTCTAAACAGGAGGCTACATCCCAAACATCTCCCTCCTTCCTCACTGCTGGACATTGGTCAAGGTCCACCCATTTAGCAGCAGAGTATTTGTACAATAGTGCAGCATGGTGTGAGAGGCCACGTACTGAGTGGCATTTCTAAGCCTGAGGCTCAAAAGCACAAAAAAAGATGGAGAGAGTATTTAAATTATTAATGTATTAGCTACCTTCACACAGGCAGCCAGGCAGGATAGTGAAATTTGTTTGAAACCCAAGCAGTAAATAAGGCTGAATGTATTTTTAATATTACATGCCAAAGGGACCAATACTTTCTCTTTGCTATCTCTCTGTAAGATGCTCGGAGGGCAGAAAGATGCTAATGCATTTAAATGAGAAGTAATTTAGACCTTTACCATAGCACTCCTTTGAGAACATCCTGGCAATCAAAATGCACAAGATTCATTCAAATTGCAGGTCGTGCTTTGATTTTGAGTCTGTTTGAAAAGAAAGTGAGGATATGTTCTTCATATGCACTACATTCCTGAGCATGTACAGCATGAGCACATAATTCAAATTCTCCATTCACATCACGTAAATGAATAATCATGTTTGCAGATTTTGTTTGGTATGACAAGTGGGTGATTAAGCAAAACACGAAACAAAAATGATTCGCGTCTAATAAGAAGAGTAATATTGAGCTAAGAAGGAGGAATGTGATGTAATACATTATATCCAAGCCTTGAGTGATCATCAGAGGCTTGTGTAATCTTTTTAAATTGGCTCCTCATTTCCAGCAATCTACATCTGCTCTTACAGCATGATGAGGAAACATACAGCAGCATCTTGCTCTCTGACATAATTTCCTAAAATTATCACAGCATTACCCTTAAAATAACACATAAAGTAACTGTCAATGATGTAATGAAATCATATATCTGCATCTGCATTCCTCATCTTGATCATGTGTATTGAAAGTTTAAAATATAAATTCTAGAAATCACTCTCAGTAAAAGCTTGTCAGCAAAGGCAACCATTTGTAGCATTGAAAGTATACATTTTTACAGTGTAGTAACAAATGGACAGTATGCTCACTACTTCCCTCTAGACTACTTCTAGAAATCACGATAAATTATTGATTAATGCAAACCTGGTGTGTGTTCACAGTTTTGAAGATGCATGTTTCAGATTTTATTTTCTTTGCCAAAACTCCCTCTATCAGGTTAAAGGCAACAGCTGGTACCTTCAAGTATATCAGTAGAGATGGTAGCAGATGGTAGTTTACACCTTTCTATTGCCAACAGAGGTGTTGAGAGAAAGACATTAGGAAGAAAAAAGAGCAAGGTCAGTCCAACACCAAACCTACCAAATATTCACAGGAACTACTTTCTTCTACACTCATATTGGACAATTCTGTGCCTCATGATTTAAATCCAATGCCAGATTTTGGTGCCAATGCAGGGAGTATTATGCATTTTATGTAGCTAGGCAGAAAGTAAAAGTGCAGAGGCCAGGCTGGTGGATATACCGCAACTTTCATCCAAGAAACTGGAGCTCATCCTTCTCACATACCTGAAATTGATGTTCATTTGAACAAACTATTACCATGATCTTTCCTCAAATGTAACCAAAGGATCTAGTTGGCCATACTGTTGGAACTACAATCCTTCCCCAACCTTATATATTCACACCATATACCCTATTTACCATATGGAGATATTGTAGGACAAAAGAAACACATTGTCACTGAATGTAATGCAGTTTTTATCAGGATTGTCAATATCAAGATTCTTGTCTGGTGACAGGGATGTGTTCGGTGGAGTAGACAATGCAACCAGGATGCTGTTTTTGGAAGTAAATATTGCTGTCAAACGTTTTAAATGTAGTTTTCTATTGCTGTGAGCACCTCAAGTGAAATTCCATGTAAC